CAGGCAATGGGTTTATTAAAATTTGAAAGGGAAATAACAGTTTTTTGGGAATTGGGGTTTATATCAAAGTTTGAATTTTGAATTATTCTCTACCTAAACTAGAACCCCCATTTTGCCCTACATCAAATTTTTTAAATTTTGTGCAAGGATTTTATAGAAAAATCCATAAATATTCCCTAAGGAATTCTTAAAAAGGGAAATTTTTTTAATATATATAATATTTTTTAATGTGTTTGGGTCGCCAAGAAAACCTTGTCCCATTAATGTGTATTGTTTTACGATCTTAAATTTTTTGATTAAAGGTTAAATAAATTTTAAAAGTATTAACATTTTTTTTTGGGTTTCTTGGTTTCTTATCTCTTCAACTAAAAAAATGAGTACAAAGAAACAAAGAAAGATTGCTCCAAAAAATTTTTAATCAAAATTTAAGGTTTTTGACAATATATGAGTCATTTTATTCAGATTTTCAGTTAATTTTATGGATGAGTTATACTGTTTAAGAAGTGTGTTTGGATAATAAATGGGGAAAAAAAAACAAATAGTCTTTTATAAAAGAAAAATTTTTCATAAATCTTTGAAAAAAAGCAAGAAATATTATTTTCAAAATGAAATAAAGCCATTAAAATTTGGTGTGGCCCCTATACATAAAAAATTTTTTTAATTCCCCAAATTTTTTCAGAGACTAAGTCCCCTGTTAATTTTAAACTAATACCTTGTAGAAGGTGTGCTTAAAAATCCCAGGTTAAAATTGTGATAAATTATATTTTAAAATAAAATTTGTCATTAATTTTAGACCCATGTTGAAACAAGAAGGCACAATAACCCTGATGGAACATACACAAAAAAAAAACCCCCACATGGAGTTAGGTAAGACACTATGCAACAGTTTTGACAATTTTTTTCCGAAACGTTCGCCTACCAGTGGCTTCTTCAGTCAATACAAAAATAGGCAGAACAGAAAATGTGAAGACGAGTAATCATCCATCACCCTGTAGTCGAAAATTTGAGGTTGTCAGCCCCCGGGGCCGGGAGAAGTTCTTCCCCAATTCGGGAACTATCTGAAGATCAAGCGACAGTGGGGAAAATTAAATACTGTGGGAAGGAGAGGTGCAAGAAAATAGTAGTAGTAGTGAAAGAAACCACTGAAAGGTCATGTCCTTCTCACTACTACTAACTTCTACCTGCACCCTCCTTCGAAGTATTTAAGTCTCCGCACGTCGCTTGATTTTCAATATTTCCCTGACTAGGGAACTGAATTTCCCCGGGCCCAGGACTGAAAACCCTAAAATTTCTACACTAAAAGGGGTGATGGATGATTACTTCTTCACTCTTACTGTTCCTCCTATTTTCTTATTCGACTGAAGAAGCCATGTGAGGCGAAACGTTTGGGAAATAAAGTTGTCTAACTGTTGCATAGTGTTTTACCTAACAACCTTCGGTATGATCCCTTTTTGATGTTCACACATAGGAGAAGGAGCTTATGACGATTTTCGTTTCGCTTAAACCATTTAAAATGTCAGAATGTGGCTGTGTAAAGGGGTCCAATCGGGCCAAAAACGTCGCGCTAGCTCCCTCTCCTTTACGGGTTATTTGTGTATGGGCCAGGTTTTACTTCGTTTTTTTCTAACAAAATTTTGTGACTTAAAGGATTATCATTAAGAACCCTTGCAGAACAGCCAAAATTTTAAATTTAAAGCACTTTCCAAAAAAATTATTTAAAAATTTTTAGACAATTTGAACTTGGTCTTTTTGATAACGTTTTTTTGAATGAGATTGTTCATTGTTAAATAGCTCCTTTTTTCTATGTTAGGTTCGATTGGCTCTGTGTGTCGACTTATTATCTGCCTGACTTGATACACTAACGTGCTAAACTATGTCTAATACTCCTTTTACTCAATTTTTTATCTTTGTACTTTTACATAATTTTGACTGACGTACCTGTTTTAAAATTTTTTAGGGTTTGGTATAATTATATATATATATATATATATATATAATTTTATATAATATTATATATATTTTATATATATATATAATATATATATATATATATATATAATATATATATATATATAAAATATATTGGTTCAGGAAGAAACCCAAATATTCTTCCTTGAAGCCTTTTTATCCACTTCTATATATATATATATATAAAATATATATATATAATATATTTTATATATAAAATATATTAGAAATAATTTTATCGGAAAAAAAATTATGAAAATTGGTCACCATCTTCCAAAATTTTTAAAACATATACATAACAAAGAAGCATTGGTATAAAAGCCTCAATAATGTTGAAAACAAATTTTTTCAGAGGATATGGAACATAACTTCGAAAAATTAAAATTAAAGTAATAATAAATTTAACTTTAAAATATTTTGAAGAATCATGACAACTTATTGTTCCACGACTCGAAAGGAACTGTGATACCCAAAGTATGTAGATAAAGACACAAGCGCACAGTTCATTTCGTTTACTGAGGAAACGTTTCGCCACAAGTGGCTTTTAGAACATAAGAACATAACATAAGAACATAAGAGAGAAGGAACACTGCAACAGGCCTACGGACCCAAGCGGAGCAGGTCCATGTCCCTCCCCCCCCCCCCCCCGATTAGACCAATGACCCACCCCTCGGATTATCCCAATGACCCACTCAGTCTGGTCATCCCCACTCAAGGATGGAGCACTGTACCAGACCCAGCAGCACAAGCTAGTCAGGTCCAACTCACACCCACCCACACCCACTCATCTCTTCCAGAGAGAGATTCTGATTAATATTGTTTCTCCTTACATTTTGAATATCTGAGTTTCAAATATCACTAAAGATTAGTTACCTGACAATTTGCTCATAATGTTATCTCATATTTGTAATATTTATGTGCCTAAACTAACGAACGTTTAGCATTTTTATAAATACTTTATACTGATTATGAAGCTTTACTGTCTTATGGTAAACTGCATTGATTACTAATATCAACGTGTAACATTTTTATGCAGTATATAGTCCGGTTACTATATACAGTATACTCAGCATACAGTGTACTCACGTATAATCTGGCTTTTATTTGTCTTTGTACTAGGACTCAAGAAATCACTTGTGGCAAAACATTTCCTCAATAAATGCTTTGAAGAGTGCTTAAGTGTGCTTTTATCTATATATTCTTCTATAAAACGTTTCTTATGCATTATTATATGCGCTAAATCTATAGGGGTCATGTAACGCCTTCTCTTACGTCGTGGCTAAGGATTTATCTAGTTTTATTGTTTGGTTAATACAGTTGCGATTTCTTTTGACTTGTTAGTTTAAAACCTATCAACTGCACAAGGGTTATTAAGGATACAAATAGTTTAAAAAATTATAAGCGTACAAAAAAAAGCTTATAAAATAGTAAGAGTACCTTTAACACTTGAATTTTATTCAGTAAACTCTAAGTTATATAGTAAAAGGCATATAAACTCTCGCGTATAAGACACTTTTATTTTTAAATTATTATTATTATTATAATATTATTATTATTATTATTATTTTAGTGTAGTAGTATTATTAGTTTATTATTATTATTATTTCATCATCATCATCATCATCATCATCATCATGATAGGAAAGCCTAAACCTATGGGGATTATACAATGCCTGTAGGGAAGGGAGGATGATGGGTGGAAAGCATTCATGCTTAATTCAGGGAATTAGAGCACATATCCAGTTCCGCAGATCAAGAGCCTCCTCGCCAACATCAAGGAACCTCTTGAGGGGTCTTCTTGCTATCAGTTCCTAAACCTCGAGGATAAAACACTCTTCAAAGTAATACAGTGTTGCGCTGTGAGCTCGATGTAACACTTAAATACAGACTCAAGTGTTTCGCTCACAAATACACATGTCAGTATGTTGGTTACATGCGCTACACATTTTCATTTTATTCGTCCGAAGAATGTATATTTTATTAAATACTATTGTTACCTGTTGTGTTTCCGGGGCTTTTCCTTCGGGGTTTATCTTGTAAAAGTGATACATTTTATTTAAAGGAATTCTTTTTTTTTTAACTTTTATTTCTATTGCTTTGTATATCGTAGAGATTTATGTCGTGAAAGAGTCAGTGTTAATGGCTGTATTGCGTATTTATTGTTAATTTACAGTGTATATATTCAGAAAAAAAGCAATTTAACTAGAGTGAAAGGAAATTAAATTCAAGGTGCTCTCATTATCTCTCTGTCACGTTCTCAAAGAACGGTCATAGTGATTGAAAGATTACGATAAAGCATGAAATTTAATGACTTTTCGCTATAGTTAGATCGCATACTAAGATATCACTCGTTTTTTGTGATCTTACTGTATTCTCCAAAATAAAAATGAAGCGAAGTCCTTTTACTGACACAACGTTTCGCCCACGGGGGGAATTTTCAAGTACATAACAGATATGAGATATAGCTTTATCATTCAGTCCAGTCCAAATTAAGATTCTTCTGGTCGAGAACAAATATTGTACGTGGGACCTTGTGAGTGCGTTAACTCTTGCACTCATAAAGATGTTAATACATACATTCACTCTAATACATTTGAACATATGAACACAAAGCTGCGTTTAAACTCATGCACATACACACACACGTAGCTCATTCACGCACGCACCTACATACACACACATACATATACACACACTCATACACGGAGTTTTATTCCTTCACGCGTATCGAAGAGGCCAGATACATAAAGATAAGTTTTTTACAATGGCATCAAATATTCATATTCAGTTATTTGTAGTTTTTGGGATGATCCGGCCGCGTGTGGCAAATGTTAACATAGCTGCACACTAAGTCACCTCCACTGCAAGCTTTAATATTACATTAAATTAATATTTTTGACATTCTTTAGTGATGTCTCTGCTTCGTTCCCTCAACAGACAAGCCAACTCAATTTCTGCGTTGTTCTCTTAACAGACTGGTCAACTCAAGGCTCTTGTCTCCACCCCGGATATCTCTCAGCTTCCTCTCCAGACGTCTTCGCCCTCCTCCTTCAGTGAGGGGATTACTGGATTTCAGGTCGCTGTTCCTTCGTCTGGTGAAGCACGAAGGTTCCAGCACCTCTCAACTGAGAGGGTGACGTTTCCACAGAAGTTATTCAACGTGGACACGAGCGGAGCCAGGTAAAAATAAAGTTAATGTCGTAGTTGGGATCATTTATAATTATCTCATCAAGTTACAAAATCAAAAAGAAAAATTATTGACGTTTAGGAATAAGGATGATTTGAAAATGATCTAGGGCGGATTGGAACGTTAAATTTTCTATTTTCATTTTGCGGTTAGTTGTAAAGAGACAACAGGTAAGGTAGAGGCAGGAGGTTTGTTATTTTCAGTCCTTTCCAGAATCATCTACCCTGGCCTGGCTGGTGGAGATTGATAATGGAGGGTCTCAGTTGCTAGCCAAAATATTAATTTATCTCTCGAACTCTTTGTGAAAGTGGATAAATATCTTAAATGTAACTTCTTTTATATTCATTAGAATAAGACTTTTATTCAATGTGATGCTAAAATTTAGAATCATATTGGAAAACATTTCAGTTAAACGTCCAAATGAGCAACTGCATTCAGAACTAAATACTGAATAACACGGATTTTCCAGCATTTCTTCCACAATTTGACAATTGTTTCTTTTCCAGGAGCAGCCTCCTGGCCCAGCTACAACATGAACGGCACCAAAAGCAGCTTGCCATGACTTCTCCTCCTCCAAGTGCCACTTCAGTACCTACTCAGAGATTCCTCCAACCTACGCTGGGTGATCTTCCCTTGAGAGATGGCGGCGAAGAGGGAATTCGCCTATTCAATGCTCTTCAAGCTCTGCAAAAGGTGTCCTCCGTCCCAAACACCAAAAAATTCGAACTTTCCATTCAGAACCTCAAGCAGAAACCAGAAGAAAATAACCTCGAAACATCTTTCAGTATCCCAGTGATCTTCCCGGAAGACATACAGAATTTTCGTACCAATGAAGATAAAAGTCCAGTAAAGGTGGTAGATCCTCCACTGTTTGGTGCATCTCAGGTAGGCACCGACTTCTCCGGCATGTTTCCTGCTCTATCACCTTCCCAAACAGCCGGAATCCTCAGGCCAAGTAGATCTACTGTATTTGAAAGAACGGAGCCCACAAAATATAAATCATTTTCCTTGTTTATCAAGAAACCATTGGGTCTAGAGAGAAAAAAAAATGTTCCTTCTTACACGTGGGTGTGGCCTGACACAACCAGTAACATTCGCCTTGAGGAACTCTTCAATGACCCTGCCATACACGCTCTCTGAGTTGGTAACGAGGAAAAGAGGAATGAAAGAATAGTTTACATTATTTCGTCTGCAGCAATTTACAACTTATCCCCAATCTGGAGAAAAAACTTTATACGCCGCTGATAATAGTTAGCCTGAGCAGGAAGACTTGACAAGTGTCAGCCTGAGCTGGGAGACTTCACAAGTGTCAGCCTGAACTGGAAGACTTCATAAGTGCAAATCTGAACTGGAAAAGTCTAGCAGGGCAATGAGAATATCATCAAGTATACTACTAAGGATTCATCAGCTACTGGAACTTCAAAGGCTTAAGTTCCAGCTGAAACTATTATCGCACAAAGGTCTAGAAATAACAAAAAAAAGCACAATACCCCCTTTCTTTGTATTTGACTGGCTCCTCCCCCTTAATTCCCCACTGCTACCACTACCACTACTACTACTACCACTACTACTACTACTACTACTACCATCACTACCTCTTCCTGCCTACTCCACTTCTGGTTATTGTGACTGTAAATGGTCCAAGTCGGACCGAAACGTCGTCATAAGCTCCTCTCTTCTATGTGCGGGTTATTTGTGTCAAAGTCTAGAGTTTCTTGCTAAATTTTGAATGAGATTTAAAATTTCATATATTATGCTCTGCTAAACCTGAAAGAAACTTGAAATTCTGCAGAGATAACAAAATTGCCAGTGATAAATTTAGGAACATAATTCATTAAATGACACTTTAAGGTTAGACTTGTTGAAGATAGGCTATTATTGTTTAGACTCATCTTGAAATCTGTAGACATTGTAGGCTGTAATGACTCTTTCATGGATCTTGAGAGCAACGTAATTAAAAAATATATTAATATTGTATTAATAAAGCTTTTTCACTCATGTGAGCGCGCGCGCGCTCACACAGTTACTTATTTTTCCTCTCTCTGAATAGTAAAGATTTGTTACCTGACAGCTAATATATAATGCTATCTCATATTTGTAATATTTAAGTTATTCAACTACCTTGTAATATTTAAGTTATTAAATACCTTTTTTCTGAAAATAATATTTCCAGTCCGATGATAAACTGTTTCGTCTACTACTTGTAAATAGTAATAAATTAATTTTTAATGTTTTGTCCATATTAATATTTAAAGAAATATTTCTTCAGATGTATTTGATATATCACAAAACACTGAATATTTTCATTTTATATTTATAAAAGCATTCATATTTCTTTAAATATGTGATGAGTCTCACACATCTTTTATGTATTTAATTTACCTAAATAAAATGTATATAATACAAGATTATTCTCCTTTGTATCATTGAACTTCCTCATATAATGACTTATCATATATATATATATATATATATATATATATATATATATATATAATATATATATATATATATATATATATATATATATATATATATATAATATATATTATATATTTACATATATTTATATTTATATATATTTATATATATATATATATATTATATATAATATATATATATATATATATATATATATATATTATATATATATATATATGTCGTGCCGATTATGTAAAACTGGTCAATTAGCATGAACTCATTTAAAATTAAGTCCTTTCTAAAATTTTCTCTTGTACGTTTAAAGATATATTTTTTTCATTAATGTAAATGTAAAAATTTTTAATTTTGCATCAAAAGAATCTTAATAAACTTACCTAACCTTATTATAACGAGATTAATTTATTTTAGTCTAACCCAACTAAATATATTTTAGATTTGTTTACAATAATTTAATACTAAACAAGCACAGTGAAATATATTTTTTTCATTAGGTTCAGAATGATTTTGGCGAAATTATTGCATACACAAATTTTCGCTTGTCCTATATGGCAAGATGAGCGTTGCTATTTAAGCCAAGATCGCAAGTTCTGCCTATTCGGCACGACATATATATATATATATATATATTATATATATATATATATATATATATATATATATATATATATATATATATATATAATATACATAATATAATATATATATATATTCAAAGCAACCACGGGGAAGTTGAATGATAAGTCTAGGCTTTTCATGCTGCAATCAACACATCATTTGGAGCTTGCAATGTTGAAGAAAAGAGGAGAAGGTTCAAGCAAATACGATCACGGGGAGCTCCTTTGCAAAGACCTTCGTGAAGGTGCTCCCTGTGTGAGTTTCGGTAACTAGAAAGCTAAGCAAAATTTCAACATCAATCCCGTCAAATAAAACAAAATCTTGTCGGTAATATATTTTCCAGCATGGAAAAAGACCTGAATCTAAAAAAAAATCAAATAAATCACAGGTTTACATAATTTTTTATAGTAATTGTGACTCCTGATTGTATATGCTGTATCGATATCGACAATATGGATGAAAGGACTGAAGTGCTTATAATTACCGTAGGACATCTTTGTGGGATATGTAGATATTGTGGGACCTTGGCCACCACAAAGATAGCCGAGTTCCCAGGACACATACGTATCTAATAGAGATGTCGCAAGCATATGAACTTACATCTCATTCAAATTGTGACATTCCGTTGCACAGGCCAGGCAGGTCGCAGTCTGGGAAAACAGCTATCGGAACAATAGAGATCAGTTAAATATACAAAGGAAAGCTCAGACCTATTCCAATTTATGAAAAAGCATAACCGCAATATAAATTGGAAAAAAGAAAACAGAACACAAACCACATTGCCAGTTCAAAATAAAAATAATCAAGCTTGAATCTACAACTAATATTAATTTGTCAAAAAAAAATGGAGACAAGATGCTATTTTCAAACTTTCACTGAAAAAAAACATGTACCAGCACCTGTTCTCATAGATATAGGTTAAAAAATTCTTCACATAGTTCGTTTGGCAACAGAGTTGTTCACATGTTACTAAACCTTTAAAAACCACTAGCAATGAGTTCTAATATGAGACAGAGGTCTACTGCAGCGCTCCTTAAACTTTCTCTAAGTTATGTGTTGAATTTTATCATCTCCTGTTCTGTTACCCTTTATAACTTGATCCTTGTCTCATGTACATATTCTAGTAAAGAGGACAGCAGCTGGGCAAATGTTTATCAGGTCATATGACATGATAAAGATCTACCCAGACTGAAACGTCGTCTGTAATACAGATGCCTTTGCTCTGTTATTCTGCAACATATAACGAGTTTGCATTACCTCAAGTGTAGGTAGCGTGTCATATTCTGTGTTGAGGCTACGACTCAGGTTGGAGTCACGCTGAGAGAATGATCTTTAACCTGCCTTCCATGATCCCTGAATTGTTTAGGACTATTTGCGACAATAAATAAATATTATTATGGTGAAATACACAAGAAAGTGCCAAACTTGCAAGGGTCATGCAGCAGCCTGTAAATGGCAGGTAAACAGTTTTGATTCGAGGAAAGGAATAGTAGCTCCATTTCCTCGGATCAAGAAACTTTCATCAGCCCACAAGGAAAACTTCAGCTGAAGAGAATTTAAGAGTATGTATACATTATGAAACCAAAAGCCACCAGTACATTTTTCTGTGATTTCATGGTTAAAGGTTTAACCAATTCTCTAAACCCTGACTTTTTTTTCAATACGTTCATTTCTTTATGCGTTACCCAGTGGAACTCTCTGAACTTTCCTTATACAGACTTTTTATTTTAAGTTAGGACAAGTTAGGTCACGTTAGATAAATTTATAAAAAATTAATTAAGCAAAAAAATAAGAAAATTAAGAAAATATCTATCGTAACGGGCCTGGCAGCAAATTGTCTCAGCGATGTGCACCCGTGGTATGAGCACAGTTCAGAACATGGCACATTTTTCACCAAGACGCCCCAGATACTGAAAATGCTGATGATCGAGAATTTTATATCATATAAGCACCCCTAGTTATGCTAAGTTACCAGTCTGTAAACCTTATTCGCCTTCCCAGCATTTCCGTCCATCAACATGACCTACACTGTCTTGTAACACCTTGGCCTGCTCTGCTTTTTAAGCTAATCTTAGTAATTTGTCTTGGCCAGTAAGGATTGTTTTGCTAAATAAGAAGAGTAAATATCCATACATACTATTACACTAATATCAAACTGATGATAGCAAGATATCACTTTTCGTTAATATTCAATAATAACTCTCTTACTCATTAAATGAATGTCGTATAACAGTAAATGTAACTCAAACCTAAAACAAGCTAAAACAGAGTTATTAATGCGGTCAAGTTTTGAAATGAGATTAAATAACATCAATTATCAAATAACATAATTGCATGAAATGTTATTCCTCCTCCTACAGAACCTATGTGAGTGAGAGAGAGAGGAGAGAGAGAGAGAGGAGAGAGAGAGAGAGAGAGAGAGAGAGAGAGAGTGTGTGTGTGTGTGTGTGTGTGAGAGAGAGAGAGAGAGAGAGAGAGAGAGAGAGAGTGAGTTAGAGTATGAGTGTTAGTGTAAGTGAGAGTTAAGCTTACTGACTAGTATAAAAGCTAGATCGCTGATTTTCACGAATCTGGTGTAAAACGGTCCTAAACGTAACGTGAGTGACGCCAACAATGTAATATTAATAGGGGATGATATTTCAGCAGAGCATGTCATTCTTATTCCGCGTATATTGACTAATTGGTGCCTGGTAATGGGGCATCTCATTATGTGCCCTTAGAGATTAATCATTACCTCTGAGGGTATAGTGTGAGTCTGTACTCACCTAATTGTACTCACCTATTTGTGGTTGCGCGGGTCGAGACTCAGCTCCTAGCCCCGCCTCTTCACTGATCGCTACTAGGTCCACTCTCTGCTCCCTGAGCTTTATCACACCTCGTCTTAAAGCTATGTATGGTTCCTGCCTCGACTAAATCACTTGCTAAACTATTACACTTCCTGACAACTCAATGACTGAAGAAATACTTCCTAACATCCCTTTGACTCGTCTGAGTCTTCAGCTTCCAATTGTGACCCCTTGTTTCTGTGTCCCCTCCCTGGAACATCCTGTCTCTGTCCACCTTATCTATTCCACGCATTATTTTGTATGTCGTTATCATGTCTCCTTTAACCCTTCTGTCCTCCAGTGTCATCAGGCCGATTTTCCTCAACTAGCCTTGTTGCAAACCTTAGCACTTTCTCTAATTTCTTGACGTGCTTGACCAGGTGTGGGTTCGAAACCGGTGCTGCATACTCCAGTATGGGTCTGCGTGTGTGTGTATGTGTGTGTGTGTGTGTGTGTGTGTGTGTGTGTGTGTGTGTGTGTGTGTGTGGTGTGTGTGTGCGTGTGTGTGTGTATGTGTGTGTGTGTGTGTGTGTGTGTGTGTGTGTGTGTGTGTGTGTGTGTGTGTGTACTCAGTTAGCTGTACTCACCTAGTTGAGGTTACAGGGGTCGAGTCCAAGCTCCTGGCCCCCGCCTCTTCACTGGTCGCTACTAGGTCACTCTCCCTGAACCGTGAGCTTTATCATACCTCTGCTTAAAGCTATGTATGGATCCTGCCTCTACTAGTGTGTGTGTGTGTGTGTGTATGTGTGTGTGTGTGTGTGTGTGTGTGTGTGTGTGTGTGTGTGTGTGTGTGTGTGTGTGTGTGTGTGTGTGTGTGTGTGTGTGTGTGTGTGTGCTTGTGTGTGCGTGTAGGTGTAGGTGTATATGTGTGGTTTATACACGGCTGTATTTTTGTGTGTTTGTATATGTGTGCGTGTTTTGTGTGTGTGTGTGTGTGTGTGTGTGTGTGTGTGTGTGTGTGTGTGTGTGTGTTGTGGTGTGGGTGTATTATTATTATTATTTATTAATATTATTACTATCATCATTAATAATAATAATAATAATAATAATAATAATATTACTATTATTTTTATTATTATTATTATTATTATTATTATTATTATTATTATTATTATTATTATTATTATTATTATTCTACTGCTACTGCTTTCTAGGAAAAACGATGTATTCATATGGCTCAAAAGGTGACTGGGGAATGAGAGGTAATCAGATTTGCTCCTAGGAAAAAGAGGGTAGCTCCAGTTCCTTGAAACAAGAGCCCTTCACCGACTTCAAGACGTTAAAGAGAGCATGTTAGTGAAATTATATCTTCGACTATCTTAGGCAAGCGTTGCTAAGAAATATCAACAATATTGTACATTACGTTATGTATGGTATGCTATACACCTAGATGAAATAATGTTTGTCAATTTAAAAAAAAAGTTATGACAATGAAAACAATTATTCCCATGGGAAAAAATAAT